CTTTAATGAAAAGGAAAGTTCTTTAGATGGTTATTTTGAACAAAATTATCTTCCCTATGTTGTCTTGGTGTAAATGCGTATCCTTTTATAGCTTTTCTAGTCTCTCTACTGTTTTGACTAATTGGAGATCTCTTTTGTAACTTCTTTGGTTTGAGCTATGTCCTTTAAATTTCATACATCTATGAAGTTTGTTTCTCATAAGAAAAAAAGACTAATGAAAAGGAGAGAAGGAAATGAGGCATCATCGAAGTCCCAAGAAGAAGTTACATTGAAGTTCCCTAGTTGCTAAATATAATAGAGGTAAACTAATTTCAAACCACTGGTCATCGAATGGGATGAATAGCCTAGGAGGTTTTTAAACAGCCTCATAATTAATGAATGATATTGCAACAGAAATTTTAGTTTGTCTAAATTAAATTTTGCTTATGAACTTATAAGCATATCAACTTTAGTTGTAGATATTTTTATATTGTTAGTCGAATAAGAATGTTCGCTATATCGTCAATGTTTGAAATTTATTTAGCTTTGTGAGTTATATATGCTCTTGTTCTTACCGGTGCAAACCCAGACAATTAGTTTCTTACCTACCTGTTTCCCAAATTATATACTGCTCTGATGTGAAAACATTTTGTTCATAAAATGCAATATTTGTAGCATTGCATCTTAATGATGCTTCTTGTCAGTTATACTATGATATTCAGCCATGTTTACTGCGCAGAGTTGGAAGGAGGTTTGTCTGGAAATAATATAAATTCTAACTTGAAACCTCAAATTACTTTCTGAACCAGTTGATTGGAATAGTTAAGAGGTCCAATACTGGATCTGCATATTTCAGATTTAAAAAAGAAAAAACTTAAATTTTAAAGCATTATACCTATGTAACATGACTTTGCTTTAGCTTTGATTATTTTATGGGATTGTCATAACTTATCTATAGTTTACTTAGTAGAGCTGATTATTTATAGCTTGATTATCATGTTAAGTTATGGAGGCTATTGCTTATTTATAGCTTGATTATGATGTTAAGTTATGGAGGCTATTGTTTATTTATAGCTTAATAATAACTTACACCGTTGTTATACATAGTAGAAATATGGGCTATTGCTTATTTATAGCTTGATTATGATGTTAAGTTATGGAGGCTATTGTTTATTTATAGCTTAATAATAACTTACACCGTTGTTATACATAGTAGAAATATATATATATATATATAAAACAATGCCTATACCTATCCATAAAGCTATATATGGTAGATAGTTATATACATAGTAAATGACTAAATATATATAACAATGCTTATACCTATCAGTAAAGCTATATATGGTAGATAGTTATATACATAGTAAATGACTATATATATATATATATAACAATGCCTATACCTATCAATAAAACTATATATGATAGATAGTTATATACATAGTAAATGATTATATCTATCTATATGGTAGATAGTTATATACATAGTAAATGGCTATGAGTATATCTATCTAGATCTATATATAGTAAATGGCTATGACTATATCTATCTATATGGTAGATAGTTATATATAGTAAATGGTTATGACTATATCTATCTATATGGTAGTGGTAGATAAGTGATATATATATATATATATATATAGAGTAAATATAGCAATGTAGATAGTCAATAAAGCTATATATGGTAGATAATTATATACATAGTACATGATTATATCTATCAATAAAGCTATATATGGTATAGTTTTATACATAGTAAATGGGATAGATAGGCTATGTCTATCCGAAGATAGTTATATATATTTATATATATATATATAGTAAATGGCTCATGATACTATATATATAGTAAACTGAATTTCAGTGTTCATGTATTCTTAACATAACTGAAGTCATTAATATAAACCTATAAGCTAATATTTCTTGTATTTTCTCTCTACTGTTCTTTGTGTTCATCTACCTCGAGTGTGTGTTGTTGTACAGTCCTAATATATCATTGTCATTTTGATGACGGCTGAGTTTTGCCCCTCATAACATTTTATTCTATTTTCTTTTTGGAACAGCCAACTGAATGTAACACATATGCAGACATTGATGCGGCATATAAATGCCTCAAGGAGAATTATGGGGTAAACGATGAACAACTAATATTATATGGTCAATCTGTTGGTAGCGGCCCTACTCTTGATCTTGCGTCACGATTATCAAACTTGAGAGGTGTAGTTTTACATAGTCCAATCTTATCTGGACTGAGGGTATTGTACCCTGCCAAACGGACTTATTGGTTCGATATCTACAAGGTACGTTTTGCTACTTTGTGATCACTTGTTTAATCCAGAAGATACCGTCTTACTGTTCTGTTTCCTTGTTCAGAACATCGACAAAATTGGTTTGGTGAACTGTCCAGTTTTAATCATACATGTAAGAATATCTCCCTCTCTCTCTTTCATATACAGCCCATATTCTTGATTGTGCAATGATGTTTTTTTTCTTAACACATAAGTTGTTAACTATCCAATCCGTTCATCCCTTCAGATCGACTGCATGGTCTCTGACTTAATGGTTTTAAATAATAGGCAGAACAAATAGACTAGGGGTGTACATCCAACCCAACAACCCAACCACCCGAACTAACCCAACCCGAATTCTCAAGAAGTGTCGGTATTTAGTTGTCCTTAGTTTTATGACAATGTTGAACTATGTTAAAATGTTACAATTTTCCCTTATTGTTGTTGATGAATTTATTTTTTTGAATGATTATAGATTGATTTGTGTTTGTGAACTTTTAATATCTTAGACCTAAGATTGTAAAGAATAATTATGAATTGTGGATAAATAATTTTTTTTTAAAAAAAATAACAACCCGACAACCCAACCCGAACTTTTGGGTTGGGTCAAAAAAATTCCTCAACCCAACCGACCATGTACACCCCTAAAAGGACTACTGACCGAATGTGTTTGATTTACAGGGGACAGCTGATGAAGTTGTTGATTGGTCCCATGGAAAGCAGCTGTGGGAGCTTAGCAAGCAAAAGTATGAACCACTGTGGATAAATGGAGGTGGGCATTGCAATCTTGAGCTATACCCTGAGTTCATTAAACATTTAAAGAAATTTGTACAGTCACTTGGAAAATCAAAAGCATCAACAAATGGATCTGAGAAAGCTAAAGTAGAAACAGACAACCAGAACAAACCATCTGAAACTGGGTCTTCAGATACGTTCAAAATGGTTGCAGATGTTCCCGAAGTTTCCCGAAATAGTTTAGATAGTCGTCTTGAGAAGTCGAAAAAAGCAAACAAGCCTGAGAAATCTCGTATGAGCACTGATCGTGTCGATAGGTTTAGGAAAAGAAAAGGCTTAGTATGGTAATCGATTATATCAGTTCATCACAAAATAAGCCATGCACTAATCTTAACTGTGACCCCTTCTATAATTGTTTGTGATTCCTTCTTGAACTTTTCATTTATATCCCTTTTGTACAAACAGCAACAAGTTTTTGCAGATCAATTATTGGTTAGATGAATTTCCTTCTACACCTTCCCATTCAATTCCCCAACTTTAAGCATTTCATTTGGTGGTTGGATGTTTTGGGAGGTAGGGTCAGTGGCTTTTTCGATGTCAGAATTGCATGCACCACTCGTTATGTTGTAGTCAAAGTGAGTGAATACTTTATATTTTTGAAAGATGGGAGGTGTTGACTGTTTTGGACAATGTGTATTGCCTTGAAAAGATGAAAAAAGAAAGCAAGTTGTCATTGTCTCTGTAATATTAGTTGCTTTTCATAATGCTTCATATTCCTTCTTGCAGTGGAAAGCTGGTAGAAAGTGTTGAAATGATAATTAGTTTAAGCTTTTATGAGTTGCAGAAAGTTGTAGCTAATCATAGTTTTGAGGCCCTCATCTCATGTTGTTTAATATATTGAGTTTTCTCAAGGGATAAAATGCCCTTACTTTATGTTTCTTTTTATGTTATGTGCTTTGGAAAGAGAGGAAAAAGGGGAAAACTTCCTTTCTTTTGTCTTTGAACACTTTAAAAGCAGTAAAATATTACAGCTGCTTTGCTTTTCTTTTCTACTTAGTTTATGATTTAATCCTTGTAATTTAAAAGTTTAGCAATTTAACTTCTAATGCTGTAGAAGTGGGGCGGGGTGGGGCGAGGGGCGAGTTTCAGCCCTTTCCTTCCATCATGCATATGATCTATCTTTGGTTAGTCTTGAGGACTTCGTTGACTCAAAGAATGGCTTATTGAGTGAATAAAGATGTGAGATCCCCGTTGGTTGGTGAGGAAAACAAAACATTTCTTATAAGAGTGTGGAAACCTTCTATAGTAAACGTGTTTGAGAGAGAAACAAAACCTTTTTTATAAGGGTGTAGAAACCTCTCTGTAGTAGACGTGTTTGAGAGGGAAACAAAACATTTCTAATAAGGGTGTTATAAGGTGTGAAAACTTATCCGTAGTAGACATGTTTGAGAGAAAAACAAAACATTTCTTATAAGGATGTGGAAACCTCTATGTAGTAGACGCATTTGAGGAAAAAAACAAAGCATTTCTTATAAGGGTGTGAAAACCTCTCCTTAACAAGAGTATTTGAGAAGGAAACAAAACATTTTTTATAAAGGTCTGAAAACCTCTCCCCCTAATAGACGCGTTTGAGAGGAAAACAAAACATTTCTTGAGAGGAAAACAAAACATTTCTTGAGAGGAAAACAAAACATTTCTTGTAACGGAACAAAGTGGACAATATCTACTACAAGTAAGCTTAAGCGGTTTCATTCCACGATTAGGGGAAGTCATGAATTCCATTGTCATTTCCTATTTTTTCAAACCAAAGTTTTCATTTAAATATGATACACAAAGATACAACTAATGCCTCTCCATAAGTTTTACTTACCAATAGCAGCAGCAGCAGCAGCAGCAGCAGCAGCAGCAGCACATAAGCCCCATAAGCCCTGTGGATTCCAACTCCGTGATATTGAATGCTTTATTTGATGGTATGAATGGCTTCACCAATTGCCTCTAGAATGCCAATTTATTCTGCAACATACTACAACACCTCCCCTCATCAATAACCAACTTGATTTACATTAAACTCAAAGAATCACCAAAAGCTATAGCGAGTTAGCAGTTGATGTCGAAGCAACCAATCACGACCCCCTGGCTTCTGTATCAATCGGGTCAAGAAGCGTACCGAACATCCAATCCATCCATATGGAGTAATGCCCATAATTGTAGCGGTATCTCGTATGATGAATCGTGTGGTAACCAGCACCCATAACTGGCCATATTTGAGCGTGGATACAATCGTGAATGTTCGTCGTCCATACCACCTCGAAGAATAGTAGCATAACATGTGTTCTAAAATGAGTTGGAATGAGAAATAGAGCAAACAAATGAGGTATTGCTTGCAATATCCCATCAACAGGGTGAAATGCTAAACCTGCTCATTCAAAAACACCATTTATCAGAACATCTTCTAATAAAAAACAGCTATAAAACTCCCTGAAGTTTCTATCAAAACGAAGAACAGCTTACGAACTACATGTTTTCATCGTAAAAATCGATGACAAAACAATACACAAAAGCACGCTAAAAGTCGAGTTCATGCGACAAGCTACGTCCTAAGGTGTTCATGCTAGGCCAATGTATATCTCAAATTAGCTTGGATCAGATAAAAGTGTTCTAGCACCCTGTTTTAACACCAGGGTTCGTAATAGTTTCGTTGAGATTGGTTCGTTCGTATTCTGGTATCTCGTACCAAGTTGAACACATCATACGAAATCGAACAAGAAACACATATGGCATACAATCTATTTGACATGAATATGCAAAAATTGAGAGAAGTAGATTAAGAACTTACCAGCAAAGGGAGAGAGAGTAATTTTCTTATTGTAAATATGATGTTTAGCATGGAGATACTTATAAAGAGGCTTTATATCATGCAGCGCCCTATGCATCCAATAAATACAAAACTCTACAAAGGCAAGGTAAGTAACTATATGGAAGGCATAGGCACGCCATCCGACATCGAGTACCCTCGGATAGCATTTCGTCCAATCATGTTCAACCACGTATTCAGCAAACGTCGGAAGGATGCAGTAAAATGGCATGGCCTTGATCGTTACAAACATTTGAAAGAGCATCAATTTATTAGATGGAATAGAATCTGCAAGAAAACAACCATTCAGCCATACACATTCATAACATATAGCCTCGTTTCGTCACGAAAGATATCACGAAAGATATCCTAACTCGAAAAATGAGTTACTTGGATTCTTACATACTCTATGAATAACAAGTTCAATGCTCAACATAGCCACCTACCAACACATCCCCCATTAGTTTCTTGCAATTATTCACAACCAAAACAATATCTAAATCACAAACATCATATTTTCCATTTGAACAACAAATAAAACATCCTTAGTTTAACCAAGAAGAAGCTCCAAACATAATATATCATCCATTAGCTCTAAATTATTATGAATATATGTTGTCTTTTACAGTTCTTTTTATAACAATTCAGCTAACAAACACAGAAAGAAGAATCATCAGCTTGCACAAATCAAAACAACCCTTTTGGGAAATCTATCTGACAAGAACATGTAGATGATCCAAAAACACTGTGGACTAGTAATCATTTACAATCTAAACCAAAACGAATCAAAAATAGCATGCAGTTCAAGATTATAGCTCCAAGAATCTGGAAGTAGTGAGTGAAATTAGTAAAAAGAAACACAAATCCAGATTGTAAAAGGGAGTGAACAAAGAAGTAAGTGAATTAATAGAACCCAAATGAGCAGAATTAGAACTGGTTGATGGAGCAGTTGAGAAATAGACACAAAAGGGGTTAAAAAACACACAAAAAGGAGCAAAAAGAAAAAGGCAAAGACCTTTAGGAACATAGACATTGCGTTTCCAGTAATAGATGTAGAAGCACCAAAGAAAGCCAGAGAAGAAGTAAATTAATAATCCACCAATGCAGTTTCTAAGCCATGTTTGAACAATATGAGGAAATGGGTCTAAAGTAAAGGCCGGAAAAATGGTTCCCAAAACAATGCGGTTGTAGAAACTAGTCTCCGCCACAAATAGCTCCAGATACGGCTGTCCGCCGCCCATGGCCGCCGTAATTAGCCACCGGAAAACAGAGAAAAAGCAGTCAAATCAAAAGCAGAGGAAGTTGAAAGAGAAAAAATAGAGATAGTCTGAGTTGGAATGGAAAAGGGTCGAGAGAATTTATAGCCCAAAAAGGTCCCCTGCTATTGCAGTGATGGGAAATATCACTTTCTCAACACACTGCCTATGGGTAGGACCGGACCCGACCCGACCAAACCAAACCAAACCAAACCCGACCCTCCAGTTTCAGATTGGATGTCAATTGTCCCTTCAAAATGGTAATTTGAGGGTTTCCTTTTCTGGGGCTGGAGTTTTGGTGTGGCGCCACACTCTGTGGGCACTGCCAGCCATGGCCTAAGGTATTTGCAATTACTACACCAAATGGGGTTCTGGGATTTTGGGGTTAACTGGAAATTATACATTTTTTGAGTGTTGGTTTTTGTTCTTATCTCAGAGAACCAACAAAAAAAAAAAGGTTGATTTTGTTTTTTTGTTTGTTTGTTTGAATGGATAGATTTGTTTTTGGGGATTTTGAGCCAAACTTGTAAAGAAAACAATTAAAAAAAGAGACACTTCGAAGTTTGAAGTAGAAGGGATTGGAAGTCCACATGTTAACGTCAAATCCTTGCAGATTTGAATATGACACACACAAATTTAGGGGGGAAAAAATAAACAAACAACAGATAAATCCCACCAACTCTGCCATTTTCAGTGATGAGGAGCAAAGAAAGAAAGAATTTTTTTTTTTTTTATTTTTAATTTCCTTCCATTTGAATAAATTTTAGATTTTACTTTTATTTTAGTTCTTAATTTCTTTTTTCTATTTGAAAATTTAAAATATTTATTTTAATTAAATAATAACTATTTCAGTCTCTGCCTTTAATGTGATATTTAATTGTTTCACAAATATACTGTGTCTCAAGTCAGGCATCTTAATTATTACTGACTCAGTTTTTTATACTCTCAAATCACGCATCGTGTAGATTTCAAAGTAATAAAAGCATTCGGTTTCATTTGAAAATATGCATGCATAACATATTTACCATAAAACAACAAGAAATTATATGGATAATATTGGGGACATTCTTAGGCTCTCGATTTGATCACGCCATCATTTTTGGTCAAATAACTCCACTATGAAAAATAACTTTGAATGAATATAAGGATACTTAGTAAGTATGTAACAGATAGGCTTATAAGTCATGTTTAAGTTTTATTCTACTACTTAAGTTGATTTGAAAGGTTCATTACCAAGTCAAAGACTTTCTTCGAGACTAGCTTTTAGGTCGTGCTAGACAATTCCGAACTCTAAGTAGATTGGGGCCTAACAAGCACATAACACAATGGTCAAGTGCTTTCATGACCCTATACACCACATAACACATCAGTTAGGTGCTCTCGAGGGCCTAATAAACTGAAAGGTTAATTATTGCAGTGCCTTAATAGACTATCAATGTATAAGGTACATATGTCTAGAGAAGGTTCACTATTAGAGATGAGCTACAAACCTATGTAGGACATTACACAATTATAATGAAGTAACACTTCAAAACACTATCAGATAGTAAACAACTAGGTTCATAAGTTTGGGTAAGCTGACAAAACTCCAATCTATCTTCACACAGTAATACACGTCACACATGAAATAAAGCATGATTAAAGAGAAATGTAGTATGTTAGGTTAGTTGTAATCCCATAGTGATTGATAATGTACCCATTAAAACTTGTCATTTCTTTTTATACTAAATTTTTTCTTAATTTGATCCAAATTCTTTTAAATTCCATAAATGAGTTCTACGATAATAGAAATTAAGAATGACATTGAAATCAGATCTAAAAGGATAAACAAAGGTCTAATGTACAAAATCAAAATCAATCTACTGAGCATTGTGTGTCCCATGCTCGGCTAGTTGCACATTCACGCTCGTGCACTCACACACTTTATGTTCAACCTCCAAACCCCTCCACCATGATCCACTATGCACGACAAATTTAGCATTTGAAATTATGAATTTTCTAAAAATTTACCTCTCTTCCGATCAAACTCCGGTGAAGTTTCGTTGAAGGTCCTCTCGATTTCTCCTCTTCAAATTGGCTCCACTCTTCCGATCAAACGAGGTGATTATGAACATGATATGATACCTCAAAAACTTGAGGAGATCGACTCAAAAAATATTCTCACTAAAGAAGAGATATGTTCGTGACAAAGTCAGAGAAAAATTGTTGGTGTAGGGGAGAAAGAACCCAATGTGATTCCAATTTTAAAAATGGAAAAAGAGATTTATGCCTTAACCCTTCTTATTAGTTATTCAATTTTTAATAATAATTTTGATTATTTTATTTACCACTAAATATTATCCTTGGTATAAATAAATCAAGATTATTAGTGTGACTTCGAGCAATATGTGATTGACATATGAGAGGACATGTTCAAGTTATAACCTAAAAGAGTTATAGTATATGGATAAAGTTAGATGTCTTATCTTGACAACAATATTGATATGACCTACTTTGTAATCGTTACAAATTATTTTATCCAAATCGTTTATGTAGAGACATGTGAGTGGAAATATCCTATACAATGAGTTTATATATGATTTGACCCAGAAATATTTAACCTCTCATTATAAATTCGTTAATTGAGAATATTACTATTTCACATAATGATCATATGCAACTCGATCTTAATCCTGAGTGAGTTATGAACTCATGCCTGGGCTTATCCTTTAATTTGCATAAGTGAGAATGACTCTGGTAGCAGATTTAATATGCTTACTATTTTGGAGATTTGACCAAAGAAGGAGTTGGGACATAATATCATGAGATAGAATTCACTCCTTTCCGGTAAAGAAAGTAATGAGTTGTTTTTAAGTACTAGTTTTGGGACTTGAACACCCACCCTTTTCGTTGACGTGAGAGAAACTTATTTATTATTGAATCATAAACAAATTGTTAAGTAGAGAATCAACAGTATTTCAGGTGAAAAATGTAATTACCTCTAGTCCGGTATAAATAATTCATTTGGGCAAAAAAAAAAAAAAAAAAAAAAAAAAAAAAAAAAAAAAAAAAAAAAAAAAAAAAAAAAAAAA